ATTTTTTTTTAATCTCGAGATTCCACTGGATCATATAGAAATGATCAGCCACAATCAGATCAGAAATAAGGAGGATGGCCATCTTGATGACGTTCATTTTCGGAGATGCCTTCATCTCTAAAACCCAGATTTTGGTTTTGGTTCTGGTTCTGGTACTGATTAATCGAACACATGCAATTTAAGTTGTATTGATCTGGAACATATCCTCCAGCTTAACTATTGTTTCCATACGGTAGCTGATAAATGGGAGGATACATGTTCTGGTTGTAGCATGTACTCACGTTGAACATTCTTCTTTGTTCAGACTGGTCCAAATTAGGGTTGATATAGCCACATTCCCTAAAAAAGCATCACTGAAACTTCCGACACAGAAATTTGGATGGGGAAAAACTTGGAAAAAATTGGAAGTCTCATCTGCAACAACTTTTTTCGCGTTTTCCACTCCAACTAATAATTCTTGGGCATGAGCCAAGTCAATTTCTTCAACGGGATTTTCCCACCAATTCTCAGGTCTTTTAGAATTTTTTCTTTTTTTCTTTGATTCTTCATTTTTCTTTTTTGATGTTTCCAAATCATCCATCACCTGAAAATATAAAATAACTTATTTTCAAATAAATGTGTAAAAGATCAAATTTGGTATCATCTTAAATCAATTCCTAAAAAAAAACATATATACTTATGTTAAGAACCTTTAAATAGCACAATACCAAAAAATATATAAATTATGACATCAATTTCTACAGTATTACATGCCAGTATACAATTATATTCTATATACAGAGAAACACACATAATTCACCGTATAATATATTAGTTATTTGTTAAAACTAACATGTAGGTATTGAATACAACATCAGGGTTTTTATGATTTATATAAAAGATTATAATATTGAACAGCACGATAAGAAGTCACCTGAGTAAGAAAGTCGTTCATTTGTTGAATGGGAGTATGCGGCTGCACTTCACTAAGTCGCATGTTGTTGTTTGGATTAGCATCTGCTCACGTTCTTTTCTCAAACGGTTTAGTTGGTTCCTCTGACATAGTCGAGTTTGCTACTCAATCTGGCATTCTGATTGCTAAAAGGGTTCCAGAAAAAGGTTCTTTTTTGGTGGAACTGAGTTTACCTGAGATTCTTACATGTGAATACAACTCAAACGATGTCTCCATGTTCTCCAAAGCCTTAAGTGGAGCTACCATTGTTGACATCAAGGGAACTACAACAGATAGCACCGTCTTAAAAGCCTTGAATGGAGTTGCCAAGGCAGCTTCAACCGACAAAATCATCGTATGCACGCACTTCAAGAACCTTTAAAAACTATTTACCTGTACTGTTTAAATAGTCTTAAATAAGCATTATAATTAAGCATAATAAAATATTGTAATGAATGACACAGGTTGTGCTTCCATCTTGGGATTCTGTCACAGGACTGCAGCCAATAAGGGATGATATCTTGAAATGCCCTGGTAAAATGTTAGTTGTTACTGCTGCTGCTCCTCCAGGATCTGCGTATGATTTCATTAGTCGTGTCTTTGGCCCCAAGATAGGAGTCGATGAGGTTAAAACACCAAATGTCTGTATTTATGTTTGTTAATGGATAGATCATATGAGTCTCACATGTATTGGTTTGGTTAATTCAGAGCCCTGTCTGTGGAAGTGCACATTGTGCATTAGCACATTATTGGAGCATAAAGATGAACAAGTGTGACTTCGTCGCTTACGCGGTCAGTCCCCTCTCTCTAACTTGGAAGTATTTTAATGTTTTACTAGCCATACTGATTGTGATTTGAAATCTTGGAAACTTGTTTATAGGCTTCGCCTAGGAGTGGAACACTCAAGATTCACTATGATAAGGAGAAGCAGAGAGTCTTGCTTACTGGCGAAGCCGTGACTGTGATGAAAGGCTCTGTCTTAGTTTGATCATAGTCTTGATAATATAATGCATATATATTTTCTATCCATCTTATTTAAGATGAAGTACCATTTAAAAATAAATCTTCATTCACATTAATAATTAAGAATGTTAATACAATCATTTATCATTAATTACAAAGAAAAATAAATGATTATTTAGCATGGAAACCAACTTCTACATTTTTTTTGTTTTTTCTTAGTTTCAACCACCCAAATTTGGTTAATTTTCACGATGAAATGGTTTAATTTAATAGATTAAAATATAGGACATTCCTTAATTTTTCTAATATATTCCTCGAATAACTTGTGTAACACTAAAATTAATCATTTATTACAAGATACTAGAGCTTTTTCCGCGATACGCGCGGATTATATACTACTATAATTTATTTTCTTAAAATTTTCTTGTATTGTTTTTATTTTATATTTAAAGTATGCTTTCATTTCATTTCGTACGTATACATTATAAAATTCACAGATGTTTCCAAATTTATAGAATGGATTGTTTCAATTAGAACTTCAACAAAGTTTTAGTATGTAATAATATTATGTGACATGATATTGTTTTTACTCTAATTTTTGAATAGTTTTATATTCACTTAAAATTGAATTGTAAATGTAAGTAGCCCACAAAAAAAATTGAATATGAGTTTTATTTTTTGCATAATAGAGAAAAGAATGATAGTATGTGACCTCTTCGATTTCAGTTTAATTATCTTCATAGACTAAATTTTTCATTTCAAAATAAGTATCGATGTAAAATTCTAATAAAAAAATTATTAACAATATTCTTCCATTTTTTTTTGTATTGGTTGGAATATGGTTAAGTGTATATGTAATGATATCTTCATTTTAAAAATATGCAAAATTAAATATTTTTATAATCTATGTGCATGAATCTAAAGATACAAATTTAAATGAAATGGAGAGTTTATATAATAATTTTTACGTGTTAGGTTATCCTTTTTATCATTTTGGTTATTAAACTTAGTAAAATTTTATGTTTTTAATTTAAATGGAAAGATTTTAAATTGTCTTTGTTTATTCAAAATGATTCAGTTTGTTGCCTTATAAATTTCGTAAAAACCTTATATATTGTAAGAAATATAATTTCTAATTTTTGTTTCTATTAAGTGAAATCGATAAATAATAGAGAAATTCTTTCAAATAGCTATTTTAAAATTTCTGTCATAAAAATAACCGTAAAAAAAATAAAATGACCAAAATAGTCCTTTATATTTTGAAATTTGTAATATTTGTTTTAAAAATGTAAAACCCTAAACCCAAAAGTTCACCAATTAACTCTAAACCCTAAGTTTAGATTAGTTAACTCAAAATTATAAATGTATATTTACCTTTTAATAAAAACTTATTTTGATCATTTTTTCTTGGAATACTATTTTGTGAAAATAAACTAAAAAAGATTATCCAATGAAATTGTTTAAATAATATCTTTGGTTGGTAATGGTGTTTCTTTGAATATGTTTTTGTAATTTTTGTAGAAAACTTGCCAATATCTTTCCAAAAATCACATACAAAGTTTTCATTCCTTCTTTGATAATAAAAGTTAAGAACTTGTATTTTTGGTAAATAAACTTATATTTGTTTTGTAATGATTACTTCATAGTGATATCTTAAATTTTTTACTTTCACTTTTTTGTTTGTTGTTGTGTCTTATATTTTATATTTCTTTAATATTTTTAGCAATGCTTATTCAAACTGGTTTTACTAATTTATTTGTACGTTGTTTTAATATATGAGAAGTATGGTATTGTAATAGGTTTTAGAATTTTTTTGATCTCAAACACTATTCATCAAATATGAAAATAATTATATATTTTAATTCTTTATATCTATATTTATGGTTTTTTATTATGGGAGGAGACGTCAGAAACTGCTTGACCTAATGGGTATGCATGTTTGCGGTCCAGAAATGAGAGGAGAGGAGAAGAGATGAGTGATTGATTCAACGGGCTGGCAAATAACACTTTTCGGGTCCAGAATAAATTGAAGCCAGCCCAACCAAGCAGGCGCTGACTTGGCATGACGAAACAATTCCATTGGTCGATTATAATGCTGACGTGGATAGCTCCATAGACCTTTATTAAGAACTTTTAATAATAATAGATTTGTATTTAACTTTCAAAATATTGGTCTCCACCCTATAGAAACTATAATAACTTCTACCATTTTACGGATATGAATATCTTGATTAGATTAAAATATATATTCCTAATTATTAGAAAAATAATTAAATATGCGAATAGTAGATCACATCAAAAAAAATTTGTTACCGACCTTAACATCTTATAAATACCATCACATTCAACCCAAAACACACATATTCTAAGGCAGAAGAAGATCCATGGCCATAACATTTACTAGCCTCAACCATGTTAAGACGATTAAAACAGATTAGAGAATCAATATTAAAGGCTTTCAAACTTCAAAGTGTCATATAAAAGAGATACATATTAAGTTTTCCAGACAAGAGTTTATGTTTTCATTTAAAAAGTTTGTTAAGAACATTAGAAACATTATGTTATCATTCTTGCAGTATATTTTTTTTGAGGCGTGTTTATATTAGGTTATTAACTAGATTTCATTTTGCATACATAAGTTGAGCAGCTTATAAATAGTTATAAGCATAACACATCTATATAAACATACATATACATGAATAATATTCATTCTATTTCAGTTACCTACCATCAGTTCCATTCCTAACACACTTGACACTACTATTATACAAGACTAAATAGATTGCTTACTTTATAGTTTTACAATAAGCCTCTCATAATTACCAAACTCCCATTTGTTCAGGTTTGATTAAATTGTTCACTCCAGACCGTTATTTGTTACAGCTGTCTCCTATCTCTAATGTGCCATAAATTAATACCTTACTTATCTCTAATGTTTACACGTGATTATATTTATGATCACCTGACGTAGTCAAGGGGGGGGGGCAATCAAATCAGATCTCCTCTGCTTATTTTCCCTTAGTTTTTGAATATAAGAGAGCACCATCATTTGATCAAAAAAAAAAGAAAAAAATGCATCTTTAATAAAGACTTATAACTTATAACCATGGTAATCTTAAAATACATACGTACATATAATAATTATTATTTAATATAGATATTTCAAAACTATCTAAATTTAATTAAAAATATCTCATTTGAATTTTATTAGATGTTCACATCGTACAAATAAAATGTTCTTGGATAATAAATAACTAATGTGACAATTTTTCACTCATGAACTAACTTTTAATTTTGAATTTAAGAAATAAAGAGAGAGAGAGAGAGAGAGAGAGAGAGAGAGAGAGAGAGAGAGAGAGAGAGAGAGAGAGAGAGAGAGAGAGAGAGAGAGAGAGAGAGAG